CCAGCTCTCCAGCTTTCACTAGAAAAGAGGTAAAAAAAAAGAAAAAAAGACAGAGCTTCAGATTGTATAAGAAGGAGATGAGAGAACACTTGAATCGAAGAGGAGGTAAAATCCTTTTACTTCCACCAGTGCCTCTTTTTATTCCTTATTCTTAAATCTGATTTAAGATTCTACTTCTAATTTTTATACAAAAAAGGTTCCTGTCCATTAAGGAGGACACTTGAAGAGGAGAAGACAGTCTCTTCTGAACAAACGAGTAATTACACACATAAGAGCTGTTTGAGAGAAAACCATTTTTTAGGTAAAATCATTTTACTTCCGGTGCCTTTTTATTCCGTATCTATAAATATGTTATGATATTCAACTTCTCATTTATATATAATAAGGGGAACGAATGAGGTTCCTTTCTGCTTCATGAAATCAAGCTCGCCCTGATCAACATAAAAAAAGAAAAAGAAAAAAAAAGAGAGGCCATTTGTTTTGTTCTTTTTCTTCTTCCTTTTTTGAAGTTGTGTCTTGTATATCACTTTAAAGGGAAAAAACAAATTTTGATAATAGATAAGTACTAGAGTGATTTAATATTCTACCATAGATAAGAATTTGTTTAATTTTAGGATAATATTTTTTTTCTTTGTTTAATTTTATCGATAATTTTTTTCTTTGATATAGATCAAATTACGGGTATATTCTTACACTAAAACTATGTTAATGATTCAATGTTTTAGCACGCATATGTCGATTGTGTGTGTGTGCGCCTCTTGTCATAACGACCTCGATTATAAGCTTGATCACCAATAAAAATAAATAATTAATTAATCTCTAAATTAATTGGTTCAGTACTCACAGTTTCCGATGGCATTAATTTTAGGACAAAATTTAGATTAAGTTCGTTAAGAGTTTGTTGTGTTGTTTAACAATAGAAGTATGACATATATTTTCTTTAGATAAAATTATTTCGGAGTAAGCTTATTTTAAAGTAATTAAATAAGGATATATTCATGTACCAAAAAAAAAAAAAAATAAGGATATATTCACCCTTTATTTAATTTTAAAGTGTGTTTAGATCTCAACATATGAAAATTTATGAGCGGACTCACCCTTACTTACCCACCTCGAAAATAATTTCATTTTAAAAGAGATTTTTTTTTCCCATAATTTCTTTGTTACCTCATCTTTCTTTCTAAAACTCTCCTTAAAGTGAAGGGTGCACTTCAAAGGAAAACATGCGCAATTACAACTGTTATAAATTAAGCGAATTAATATTTTTAAATAAGGATTTAATGTTTGTTCTATCACATGAGATAAGTTATCTTCCGTGATTCCAAAACAATTAGTTTTGGGATTAAGAAAAATATATTTTTATAAATTATAATAATTTTAGGGTTATATTAATTTTTATCATTATAATATTTGTTCCTTCCAACTTTAAAACTAAATCGTTGATTCGTTTGGGTTACAGAAAATAAATTGATCTCATATGATAGAAGAAACATTAAACCCTTTACATAACTCCATAATTTATAATAATTCTTCCTATGTGATTCAATTCAATTATTATTATATTTATTACATATTTTTATATAAATATTATACAAAAAACAAGTTTTTAGTCCATCAGAATTGAACTCAAGGGGTATTTAGCAGGGAGAATTTTTTGAGATTCTCAGGAAAATGACAATGGTATAAGGTTTTAGTCCATCTGATTTTCCTGGGATTTTGTTTTGTTTACAATTTTATTTTCCAAAATGTCATCCAAGAATACCACCATCGTGGTATTCTTGAAATCCATATGTTGGAAAAAAGTTACATTTTTTTGGGATAAAATTCTGATAATATTTTAACCTACCAAATAATTTTTTTGGTGATTGTAATGGGCTATAGTTTTAGCCCATTTGCTAAGAATATCAATATTAAAAGGGTGAAGAGGCAATCAGGCCACTTTCAAGACTTCGTCATGGGTTGAGAGTAAATAATGCCTACAGTTGAGTTAATACAAGTCCATTTATGTATCAGTACATTAATTTCTCATTTTATTTCAATGTATTCAACATTACAGTGTAAATAGCCACTGGGCCTACTAATCATTGTTGATAAAACGTCGAGTCGACTCGGTAGAAATGGCTGTTTTTACATTTTTTGGTCTAAAATCGTGTTGAAATGGTGGTTGAAACGGAAATTGAGTTGACTCGGTTGAGACGACGAGTCACCTCGGTAAACTCGGTTGACTCGGCGAGTTTACCGAGTCGACTCAGTACTTAAAAAAATCAGATATGAGGGGGAGGAGGAGATTCCACCGTTGTTGACTCTGACTTCGTCGTCATCCTCACCGCTCTTCTCTGCACTCTCATCTGTGCTCTTGGTCTCATTGTCGCTCACATTGTGCCTAGGGGTGGCAATTCGTGTTCATGGGTCGGGTTCGGGTCAACCTGGGTCTGACACGAACACGAATAGGCTCAACCCGAACACGACACGATTAACAATTCGTGTTACAAATCTCAACCCGAACACGACCTGTTGATTAAACGGGTTGACACGATACAACCCGAATTTGAACATAACCTGTTTTTACACGACACGACCTGACACAACTCGACCCAACACGACACGAAGTTAACCAAACTCTATCAGCGCCCTCAACATTTGTATCTCGAGCATCAACCTCCTGCTCCATCATTTCAGTGCTATTTGTGATTCAAAATCCATCTACATATACAAATGATGACAATAATATCAACATCAACATCAACAACACCTTTATCCCAAATTAATTGGGGTCGGTGGTAGATGAACCCACATGAAAGATACAAAACGGTTGAAAAAAAGTTAAAAAAAAATAAAATAAAAAAGTAAAAAAGTAAAAAAGCCAAAAATAAATAAATAAAAATAAACAAATAAAATAAAAATATAAAATAAAATAACAATATATGTATATATAAATAAATAAAAGTAAAAAAGAAAGGGACAAGAAGAAGTGGGGGAAATGAAGGTGGTACCCATAACTTTATCACTCACCGCATGGTTGCACACTTTCATTTAACATTACATGTTATTTCTCCTTTTAAAGTCCATGTTGGAAATAGGGATGCTCTTTTATGTTCGGCTACTTGTAAAGCTATCCCTATTGATATCCAATCTCACTTGTTTACGATTGATTTATATCTAATAGAGTTAAAGGAGGAGGATGTAGTTCTAAGTGTACAGTGGTTATCCACTTTGGGCTCAATTGTCGCAGATTATTTTGCTTTAACTATGTCATTTGCTCCAAATCATTCATACGTATTACTAAGAGGTGATACAAGCGTCAACCCAAGCCACATCAGCTCTTCTCAATTGCAGAATGATTCTATCTCTACATGCTTGATGTGCTTCACCACTCAACCCGCAGACTCTCTCATCACCCAGGACTCTGCTGATTTTCTTGACTGGTTGGGCCAATTCTTGCAAGATTTCACTGATGTGTTCACCCCACTCACTTCCCTACCACCAGATCGTGGGTATAATTACCATATTCACTTGCTACCGGATGCCAAACCAGTGCAGGTCAGGCTATATCGCTACCCGCATTATCAGAAGACCGAAATTGAGAAGCTAGTTGCAGATATATTACAAATAGGTGTGATACGTCCTAGCCATTCTGCTTTCAGCTCACCAGTTTTACTTGTGAAAAAGAATGATGACACATGGCGTTTCTGCGTGGACTACCGAGCCCTCAAGCCATCACTGTCCAAGACAAATTCTCCATTCCCACTATTGATGAACTCTTAGACGAGCTTCATGGGGCAAAACTTTTCTAAAACTTGATCTTCGATCAGGTTATCATCAAATTAAAATGCATGCTGCCAATATTCACAAAATAGCTTTCCGCACACACCATGGGCATTTCAAATTCGTAGTTATGCCGTTTGGCCTCTCCAATGTTCCTTTTACTTTTCAAGCAACTATGAATGCCATTTTCTCAGCCTATCTTCGGAGATTTGTGGTAATCTTCTTTGATGGTATTCTTGTTTACAACTCATCCCCAGAGCAGCATTTGCTTCATCTTCAGACCGTTTTAAGCACCTTAAGAGTGCATTCCCTCTTTGCTAAACAAGAGAAATGCCTTTTTGCTCATCAGGGAATTCCTGATTTGCGCCATATTATTAAGGGCACTAGTGTCACTCCTGATCCAGACAAGTTACAAGCCATCCTTGACTGGCCTGTACCCACCAACACCACCCAGGTGCGAGCTTTTCTAGGGGTATTAGGATATTACTGAAAATTCATAAAAAAATATGCTTCAATAGCGGCGCCTTTAACTGATCTTTTATCAAAAAACGAGTTTTCCTGGACTCCCACTGCTGCTTCCGCATTTGATATCCTTAAACAATCACTCATTACTAGCCCCATATTGGTTGTCCCCAATTTAAGTGAACCATTCGTGGTTGAGACTGATGCATCTGGTGTTGGTATTGGAGTTGTACTGTTACAAAAAGAGAGACCCCTAGCTTTTTACAGCCGCAAATTGTCTCCTACTATGCAAAACCAATCCGTTTATGTGAGGGAGATGTTCGCAATCACTTCCGCCATAAGTAAATGGCGTCAATATCTCCTTGGATCACATTTCATAATCAGGACGGATCACAAGAGTTTGCACAACCTGATGAATCAAGTCATTCAAACGCCTGAGCAACAACAATTCCTATCCAAGCTCTTAGGCTTCTACTACACGATCACATACAAAAGCGGAAAAACCAACTCGGTGGCTGACAGTCTTTCTCGATTGCCTAATGAAGGTACTACACCTAATTCACCCTAACTTATGGCCATTTCTAGCCCGGTTCTACATCATACCAAAATATTACAGTCCGAATACATGTTTGATCCCTATTCTAGAATGAGCATTAAAGAAATTATAGAGCATCCCACTGATCTGCCTGATTGGCATTTTAGGAATGGTATACTCTTTCACCGTTCCAGGATATTCATCCTTGCAGGTTCTTCGCTGATCAAACATGTTCTCCATGACTTCCAAAGTTCTGTTCAAGGTGGCCACTCGGGAATCCAGGCTACACTCCACAAAATCACCAAGAATTTCACCTGGAAAGGATTAAGAAAAGACGTTAAGGCTTTTGTTCTCAATTGCGACATATATCAGAAGCTTAAATCTCCCAATCACCCAAATGCCTTGAGAAAGGGCATATGTATAGAACCTTTCAACGAGATAGTGCTTTTTCAACTCCCTTGCAAATACCAGTCACATTATGGACAAACTTAAGCATCGACTTCATCACCCATTTACATCTATCATTGGGTCACATAACA